CTTTTCTGGAAAAGATGCCCCACATATACCACTTGCGCGAAACTTGCAATCGTCTCAGTAAATATCAGATCATGTAACAAACATTGTATAATTAATTGTATTACAAAAAATAAAATGAAAACATTTCGAAAAAGCTGAACAAGTGAAACGTACTTACAAGTTAAAACCTTTCCTGGAAACTTTCTATTTATGGTGAAACTTCTTGTAGGAGTGTCGAGCAGAAATCCGCCAAAAGGTTTGGTGACTATTTTCTCTTTTATCGTCTTCCCATGACAACGATTTCTTGATGAAATCTCTCATGTTCGACACACGTCTCAAAGACTACTTGGGAAGAAATCCAAATGGGAATGAAGAAAATGTAATTCTAGAGATATGTTGCAACCCATAGCCTTGTAACAATCCAGCATGTGTTCTGTCAGTTCCCTGTATTACGTTTTTCAAGAAATTGTCGCAAACATCTTTCAATGCAAACCAAGCTGCCTTCTCAGTATCTGTCAGCAACTGCTCAAAAGTAATATCCTTCATTACGTCACAAAGTGATGGTAACAGCACACTGTCTTTGTCAATTCATGCGACATTTTTTCCACTAGAATTGAATAATAATATCTTCATGCCTCGTAAAGGAAAGAAAAGAGACTTGATAAAATTTACATTAATCACTATAACTATCACACGTTGCCACAAAATACTTTCGACCCATTTTTCCAAACTTCTATATTAATTTTTTGTCACTCCAATTACCTTACCCACACTCAAAATCTCGACGGATTTTAACGCGCGAGTCCACGTGGTATATACACCGTGTCTGGAACCACAACACATTGCTCGCCTTCGTGGCCTACAAAGTATCAAAGTTGTTCTATATATTTACCTAAGGTTGTTAGCGGTGCCTGTGCGAGAACTAGCGTGAAAATGTTTTGTTTGGGAGTTCAGCCATATCCTCTTATAAAGCGTGATAAAGCATTCTTATCACCCTGTGGTTGAATCAGATATAACCGTAGTAATCGAGAGCTAAAGTATGATTTATTTCGTCGTGCACTTGATGTAAATCAGCTCTTGCAATTTCATCCAATCGGGAACTTATATGTCGCTACAGTGACGTCACTATGGGGACGTTCAAGGTCCCGATTGGATGAATCCGCGAACAGTTGATTTATTTCAATTGCATTGTTAAATAAATTCTAGTACACCATATACTTCGAGTCCGTTGACACTTCGTCTGCTGTGACGTTGTGATGTGATATGAAAACGTATAGACTTCCCACATTCTTGCAATGATATAAACAACCCCCTGAAGGAAACATCTCTCAAGAAATACGTTGTCATGTATATACCTGAACGTGTTGTACAAATACAGCATTGTAATATGCAAACCACTAAAATTTTGTGAATCTTCAAGACTTTGTGTGAAAACTAAGCCATTTTCTTCAAGATTTTTTTGCGTATAAGTTCAGCCCAAATATTACATAAGTCACCGAATCAACTGTTTTCTTCTGCCACCAGAGATATCAAGTAATGTGCCAATTATATTGCAAAGAAATGGCACAAAATGTTCATTCAAACTTGCCAAGTAAAATATATTGAAAGTACGTTTCATAAAAAATGTTAACATTAAAATCATTAGGGATAACAAATTATATTTTATGAGCGTGACTTGAATATTGAAATTCAACCATCAAAATTTGAATTCAGTATAGGAGACAGCAAACGTTTTTTTAAATATAAAAAATTGAAATACTTATATACATATTTTTAAATAACCATATACTTATTACAATTAATACTGTAACGAATATTGCATCAACTGTCGGAATTCGCTGCGTGGATTGCGTCATCTGCCGGCGCTCCCCCATCCCATCGAACTGGACGGTTTCGGGTTATTCGCGAGTCGCGTAGAAATGTGGAGCAAGTTCTGGGTGGCTCGAGGCGGGCGCCGGCCAGGTATAAATTCGCCGCTGCCGGCGGCCGCTGGAAGTAGTAGTAGAAGTAGTATTCATCGTGTGTAGTCAGTGAATAAGCAGTCAGTCGGTTTGTGTGAGTATGCAGTCAGCCTAAAGTCTCAAGTGGAAGCTGAGCTGTGAAGTATGCATTGCGGTGAACAGTGGTGAATAGTTGGAACAGCAGTGCAGAGGATTGTGATCAGCGCCGTGAACCAACACCACCTAGATATAAGTATCTAGGTGGTGTTGCGTTAACTGTAACCAGCGCTGTGAATTGTGGGAAGTGCGACAGTGTAGAAGAAATGAACAGTGTAAATAAATAATCAAGTGAACTGATATCCGTGTAAGGAAATAACCAAGTGAAAAACACGAAGACTGTGAATCCTATCTGTAAATAAATCAAGTATTTTAGTGTATCATTAAGAAATAAAATAAACATCTTTGTTAAAATATTACATGAGTGTATTTTAACTCATCAAAAGAAACGGTACAATACGTTGAAAAAATAATATTTAAATCATATTAAATTCTAATTTAGTGTTGAATGTTTCTCCACACCGTGAAAAATGTTGGGACTGTTTATGAACATTTAGATTTTTTCCAAACATTTATTAAAGTTTAATGTAGGTTATATTTCTCTCAAATATAATAATCAATACACATTTCTAATATATATTTAAAAAGCCGACAGTTATAAAAAGTACGAAAGGTGTCACTTCTACGCTAATGGCAGTGGCTACGCAGTGGCTCGAAATTCGTTGGCACTTTTCATAACCGATGAAAGGCCACGTGGAATTATATGTTTCATTAATTTCAGTAGCACCTGAAATTCACCGCTCAGGACATAATATTACTCGCGCAACTTTTCTTGAACGATGACCTTGCTCCCCCTCCCTTGTGCAATAAACAGTTGAAGGCAAAAGCTCGCAGCAGGCTTTGATGACAACCTTCCAAACATTAAAACTTCGTTGGCGCGAAACAGAAGCTAGTCAAAGCCAGTTGCTTTCATAGCGCAGAACCCCTATTCAGGTTTAGTGTCAATATCGAAAGAAATGGCCGAGTCAGATACAGGTCCTTCAAGGGAGTCACCTAAAACTCCCGAAAGAAGTTAAGCACAAGATGCAATTTTGTCTTTCATTTCACAGACGTTGGCATTACTTAAAATACTCTAGTGGCCGACTGTAACTAATACCCCCACTCCACCCGAAATCGTCAATCCATCGTTCAAGAAAAGTTGCCCGAGTAATAATATTTACTTCGAACCGTTTTCAAAAAGAAAAGGTAGCGACTTGACGTGTGTTGATAAACTACTTTCCCGCACTTACTAACGTATGAAAAGGAAGTATTGTAATACTGCACCGGAAAACGGCGAATTTTCGACACAAAAACTCTTATTGCCGGGTCCTGTTAAGGAAAAAGTCGATAAATCCGTTTGCTAAATATAGGGAGAAAAATTCCTCTAACACGTGGTGTAGCCAGAATCCATGTTTTGTGGGTCCTTCATACCGAAAAATCGTTTGACGGCAAAACGTCTGTCCGTCAGTGCACAACGCTAGCACAAATAAAACATTTGTACAAGGTAACGAATTCGTTGTTTCGAATACATTCATAATGGGATACATTCGTTGGCATGTATTTCTGGATGTTCCATTTATTTGCGAATTTTTCCTTGCATTACTGTATGATGTGCTGGAAATAGAAAATGTTTATAATAGTTTTCGTTCGTTTACTTTTATTTTATTTTATTTGTTTCCAAAAACCTGGCAGCAAAGATGAAATGTTTTAATGGACTTTCTGCTTTACTGCTCTCCAAGACATCTATAACCGTTTAATTTCTTAATGAATTATGAAGAAACTACTTATGGTTTTGTTTGGCTGTAACTCTTCATTTAAAAGAAAATAAAACATTTAAAAACGATGTTAAAATATCTTGGGGTCATGGTGAAAAATAATTGTGTGTATTCGAAATAAGCAATTATGTTCCATAAAGAACGCCCACTTTCATCAAACCACAACAATACAAACTGAAAACAGAACAATTTATGGCAAAAATGGCGCTTTTAGCAAGAATTGATAAGAAAACATGTACCCGTTGTTGGCAGTGCCCATCACTGCTTGCGCGCTTTGTTGTCGTCACCGCTCATTGACTGAAATGTGTTGATATAGAAATGCAATAAAATTTACTACATAACCGTTTCTAAGGGGCGAGAAAGTATGTGCTGTATTATCACTACTAGTTTAAATTCAATTTGTCGACAACATTCGCACCCAGAAGCTAAATATACCGAAAGAAAGCAAATATCATTGCAAATAACAAATACGATAAGACATACGCACCTCGGCAACCGCATGGTTCAGCTAAAAACTTAAAAAATATCTTGAACTCTCTTACCCCTGCAACAGGGGCATACAGAAGAGATTGCCACCCAACACTTTCCCGGTAAACGTTGTGATGTCATTCTGGACATCTCTATCGGAAGCTTTAACGTCACTATTCTTGGGATTTTGTAATATGGCGCGTCAAAGCAATACTTACTATACTCCCGGTAAGTCGGTACTAGTATTAAGAGGTATTGTACTAAGTACTAGTAGGTATTGGTCAGAAGCCGATGAAATATCTCACGTCTTTCTCGGTCGTGCTGCTAGATGTCGTATGATCGCGACCTTATCAAGCAGTGCGATATGTACAGTAATATTCGAGCTCCTGATTGGATGACTTGGGAGTCTGATGAAGTGTCAACGGACTAAATATTCTAATAGAAGTATAGCACAAGTCTCTTTATGCATGGTGGAAATACAAATCCGAACTTCGTGAATCACTGCCAGATTATATCTGTCAAGTGGAGTTTTCTCCGCTTTAAGAATCTTTGGTTCGCAATATCTGTGTGTGAGAGCAAGCCCGTGATCACTATTCGTGACGATCTTCTGACAATTCATGTAAGCTGATATGAGCGAAGCGGTGAATGTGAATGTAGTATAAGTGGTGGCGAAAATACTTAGTATTTTCCTACCGTTATGTTTCTGTTATAAAGTCATTACTATTATTATTTTTTTTTTCAGGAGGAAATCGGTTTTCATGTGCGTACATCGCGTGGTAAACTTGTAACCAGCTTATGGAATTACCCTGGGTGTAAACAGACTTAACCATCAAGATTTTTAGGTTTGCATTCTTAAGTTACTGCTTGTAAATCGCTTTTATTTACTTTTTTATTTCTGTATTTATTTTGTATTTATATGGACTGAAGTGTAGAGCTCTAGGACTTCTAAAAGTAAAACTTAAAGGGTTATGTTACTTGTCTCAATATTTATTAATATATAGAAATATTCAACATCAAATTGTGATGTAAATATTCTCAGTCCATGGTGTTCTGCATACGTGAATTTTAAATGCAATTTTGATTCCTTAATAGCTATTAAAGAGCAATTGCAATGCAATTGCTTACAAAGAAGAAAAGAATTCTTGACTTCTTCTTTCTGTCACTTCATAAATGCCAAGTAGGCATGTGAAGCCTTTCATAGCATTAGGTATTTCATTTTTCAAATTTTAGATATTTAGTCTCAAATTTACTTTTACGCCAATAATTGTGATGATCTTTGACTTAACTTTTGCAAAAGACTATAAAAAAATTAATTATTTTCCATGTAATCAGTTTTGCTCTTAGAACTTTGCATCATAGTAATATAGAAAATCTGAGTTTTGACATGGAAATATTAATATTTTGGATGTTTGTTTGGAAATAAAGCATGAGAGATATCATATTCCTGAGAATTGGTATAATGTTCGATATGGAGTTATATGGTTTTCCATTTCCTTGGTATCACAAATAAATGATGAAAATACTCTTTTAATGTAGGTGTTGAACTCTTATACCTTGTGGATAGGCAATGGTGAGTTTGTGGTCGACCATCAGGTTTAGCTTTAGTTATCGCTAATCAGAAATGTAGTTAGACTGTCTTGAAAACATGTTAAAAGTCTGTTAGACTGTCTTTAAAAGGCTTTAGATATTAGAGAAATTTGCATTAAGAAAAATGTTTTTTTTTACAAATAATGAAAATTCATCTACTTTCCTTGAGCTTAATTCACTGGTTGTAAATTCTACTTTATTTTTGCTTTTAATTAGTTAGTTTTTCCTATTTTTTATGTAGAAATTTATTTGATGTCTTTCTTTCTGTTAACTTCATTCTTGAATGATTAGTAGTTTGCAAGTTTGTCACATAGTTTTGTATTGTACTGAATTTATAAAGGATATTTCATATGTATGATTAAAAAATAATAATTGCAAACCCTGATTCATGAAAAAAATTTTAATTTTCAAAAAATACATGTCTGATCTTTCAAATAGGCATTTTTAATTTTTTCACATATGAATCCAGCAGTGTGGGAAAATGCCATTGAAAGCGGCAGAATATTCTATCTATTTATAGATAGAACACTTTATCTATTTATAAATAGAATATTCTATTTATTCAGTAGTTATCGCATAAACTCTCTTGAAGAGATGTCTCTGTTTATTCACTTTATCATTGAATTGTTTCAGGGAAATTTCATCATGGCTGAATCAGTTTTGTCAGTATGTTGGAAGGACCATACCAGCGAACTTGCAACAGTTTACAAAAGTTTATTGGAGAACAATTTTTTGGTTGATTGCACAATATCTGCTGAAGGTCAAAACCTCAAAGTTCATAGACTGGTTTTATCTGCAAGCAGTCCTTATTTTCAAGTAAGTTAAATGTTATTTTATTAATGGTTAAAGTAGGGTACATGGTACACCCTTAGAGAAGCTTGATGGCAGGGGGATGGGTAAGGGGAGGAGTCTCCTTAAGCACTCCCTCAAATTACGCTAAGCGCTTCGATAAAAATTAATAAAATTTACCAATATGCAATTTTTATGGCTGTTTGGTTATAAAGGTAAATCATTACTATTACCTGAATCGTACTCAACTTCCCATGCACTTCCACTAGAAACCATCGCACAACTCTTTTCGCTTGGCCAACCTCATCAGACACTTTCACACAGGACACTTAAATCCTGCAGCAATCAAACCACATTCTTGCGCCCATTCAATGACAGTCAAACACTCCTTTAGTGCAATGCATAAAAAAAGTCACATTTATTCTCCACAGACACTCAACACTCAAAAACACAAATCACAAAGAATCTGAAGAATGTAAGAAACTTAATTGCACAACAGCAACATAGCTAACCACTTCATCAGCTACTCTGACACAGAAAATCACGTAGACAAAAACACGATTTACATGCCACCACACACCATTGCGCAATGATGTTTCAACAAGATACTAGGGTGAAATTGCTCCCCTCTCTCTAACTTTTCATTACGAACCATCAAAATTATTTCAGAAGTGTATTTTTTACAATTTATTTAAATCACCCACGCTTTGCTTTTTATATGTATGTACTAAATTATGCACATTGCTCACCCCCTTTCCACTGAAAGGTTCCCCTCATAATCCCCTAAACACCCCTACCTTGCACTGTGGATTTCCCCCCGCTGGAGTGGTGCAAAGGGCGGGTGTGAAAAACAGATTAATTTCCCTTACATTCCAAATGTTACCAACAAGATGAAAAAGAACTTATAGAGGAACATTATTAAGGTTATTGGCTAGATATATCATTACAAATAAAAAGAATCTGATAATCAATGCTAAAAATAAAATTCCTAAATTAGGTTTCGAAAATGTTGTTTATGGTATTCAATGTCAAGAAACCTACAGGGAGTAAGGAAAAACTTACAAGGAGCAAACTAAACAGAAATTAGAACTAGATTGAGTGAACATTAAAGAAACCAGAGATAAGCTTAATACAATATCTAAATATATGCTGAATTTGTCACACATTTTTGATTTTGATAATCTGTGCATATTTGACAATGAACCAAGATCCTATGCCTGATTAATATCAGAAACATTTTTTATGAAGGAAAATAATACTTGTAATAGAATGTTAGAAAGTAATATTTTTACCGAGGCATACAATCACATCTTAAATAAAATCAAATAACGAATCCAAGTTTTCCATAATTTGAACTTTGTTTTTCCATCATGTCTAGATATTAAATGTCATTATTAAAATCTTACCTTTTGAGTTTGTTTTAATGTTGCCATTTTCATCCCTGTTACTGAAAGCCCCTCTTACTGGCCCCAACCTCATCATTGTATCTTGGTCGCTAATGCCATAGTTGACATGTACCTCTGGTCCTCCATTTTAGTGAAAGCTGAGACAATGGATCACCTTGGCTTATTTATGACTCTGCACGTAATATGAGCATAATATTTTATTAACTTTCAATAACTTTTTATAAAGGAATTTTGGTGGCAATGGAACAAGGTGAGCCTCAAAACCACCTGTACTCTGTTCTTATGGGTAATTGTTAATTTTGGTTCTTTTGTTTCACTTTAATATTTAATCTAGTTAAAAATTTTTGTTTCACAGATAGTGCCTGAAGAAGCGACACAAAAAGTTGCAAAATGTACTGCAGTTGAGAATAAAACATGCTTTTTATTTATTACCTGTGTTCGCCGCCTTTTATTAATTCCTGTTTCTATTTATGATTGGCTTTAATATCATGAATACTTAAAATCTATAACTATTTGAACAGACAATATATAAACTACTCTAAGTGAATAAATTAATTTTTTTTCATTTAAGTTAAATAGCATGTAAGTGCATTGTAAATGAAGAAAATAGTAGGTTATTGAAGGACAGGTTGCCTTTTTTTTATCAGCTTACGTGAAATCTCCTGTATTGTTTAGTTAATGTTATGCATTCTCTGATAATTAGTAGTAAAATAGTCAGCTCTGTTTTCCGGCATTTATTTTGATTGTCAATACAAAGAATTTTCTACAGATGGAATAGTGATTCAATCTCAATCAATTTATGTTTATTGGTAATGATTGCGTCTTAATGGAATGAAGAACAATATTGCTTTAAATTTGCTTGTTAAATATCATCAGATAATGAAGGTTATGCCATGTACATTGCTGTTAATGTTTATTTTCAAATATCACAAATTGTTTCAAAGGTGTTTATGGAGCCTGTAATGTTTTAGAGAAGAAATGCTAATCATTCTGTCTGTTCTTCTTTATTGTTTTTTATAGGAGCTGTTTAGTGAGGAAACTGGAAATCATCCTTTTGTCATCCTCTTGCATACATCATTTGAAACACTGAAAGCTGTGATTGATTTTGTGTACCGAGGGGAGGCCCAAATTCCAGAAGGCAACTTGAAATCATTTCTGACTCTTGCTCAATCCCTAAAGATCAAGGGCCTAAATGTGTCTAGTCAGGATTTTGTATGTTCGAAGCAACAGTCCATTTTGTATTATTTTACTTGAAATTTTCTAAAACTTAGAGAATGTGTATTTTGCTTCTTTCAGGAAAATAAGAACCTATCTAGCGGTACTACTGAAAATGTCCCTCAAGATCCATCTGAGAAGAATCAAGTCACATGTGAAGTTCAAGGTGTTAATGTTAGCCAGGAGGAAAATAATTCTAGGAAGCATTCTCACCGTCTTGAAGGATATGCTGATGCTATGCCCACAAACTCTTCTGTTCCCTTAAAAGAATTTAGTGCCTTTGGGGACAAAGTGAGGTCAACATCAGTGATGACGCCTGTGCAAGAAGAATGGAGACCTGAAGGGTGTGATGATGTTTCTACAGCCATGGAAATACCAGTGAAAAATGAACCTGTGTATTCTGCATTTTTGGAAGCAAGAATTGAAAAGTTGGTTAATATTAAAAGAGGTGATCCCATGTCAGGGAATTTCACAAGTAATATGGATAGTGGACCTCCATCTGTGTGTGTTGAAGAGGATTTGAACCTGTTCCCAAGTATGTTAACTAATAATATTTGTAGTATTTACTATTTCACAAAAAATTGTTTCGTATTGGTAAGACAATTAGTTACATTGTTAAAACTTTTTAGGAGAGCGTTTTAACCTGAAAGTATATGTAATGTTTGTGTCAGATCCAGGCTTTAGTCATTAATTTGTCATTAATCATCAGTTAATTGAAAGATAAGAAATTAATTGTGAGAGGAGTTTTTTTTTTTTTTACCTTTCTAGTGTTCATTATTATGTAATACACACCCACTCATTTCCACTGTAATTTTCATGGTAAACTCTGAACAAATTGAAACTTACTCAAATGTGTTGCATTATGTATGATTCTGATCAATAGGGGGCGGAGTTTGATGACTCAACACATTGCTAATAAAATTGGCCAATTGATGCTGATAAGCATTGCAAGAACCTTAGATTACATACTCACAACAGCTGTCATTACAATTTCTGAGCAAAGAAATTCAATAGGCTACTCAGGAATTTTCTGTGCAAAACATTTGTTTGCATCTCGTAAATATTATTTAAAGCAACTGCCATTAAAATTGATGAAATAAAACAAAAAAAAGCGCATTAAAAATTATTTAAAAGGGTAAAAAAACTTATTAGTCAAAATCCACAAAAAATACGATAAAAAAGATTTATAAAAATAAGCCATTGAATTTTGTCACAACATAAAAATAATTTCTATTCTAATCAGCATTGTTCAAAAGTGAAAAGAAAAAAATGACATTTCATTATAATCCTCCTGTACTAATCAAATATCTTATAGATAGCCTTATGCAGTTACTTTTAGAGCATGGGAAGTTAGTCTAAATGTTCAATTTGTTGCACTAGTGCTATAAGTTCAGATAAAATTGTGAATGTGACAAAGTTCTGACAAAATTGTGAAAGTTCATTTCTACTTGAGATACAGCAGAATCTTCTGGAGAAATACTCCCTATAGCTCCCAGAATTTCCATTCTAAAAACTAATAGTGCAAGTATTAAGCAATTTTCAACCACATAATTCTTGTAAGCCTCCCTTTGTTAATTTAGGAATTGTACCATTACCTGGCCTCATGGTTTATGAGTCGGTGTTTTTGTCAAAAATGAGTCCTTAAGGATGGGAATATAGTTTTAGCAAATGCCAAAGTGTGTATAAGTATAACACTCAACATAGTAATCATATTCATCAAGTGTCTGTATCAACAGGTCATTATGAAAATTAATGTACTGTACATGTACATTATTTTACAACACCTTGACAGATAACATTCAACAATTAACAGTAATATACAAGTTTAAGTGCCAAGTTAAAAATATTTTTTGTTGCATAATTATTTCTATATAATTAGTGATATTAATTTTAAAAATGATTTTGAATTTATTAATTACCATTTGGAGAATAAAATTCTGAACAAATTGTAACAAGTATTGTACCTCAGCTTTGTGGTCAATGACATCCATCTTGATCAGAATTTTCATCAAGTTTTGCTGATTCTTTGAATGAATGCTGAGATGGCCCTTTGTTTTCCTTCTGGACATACATGTAACTTCACTATCTGTGCACATCTTCTAGACTTCAGTAAGAAATAGTTTACTTATTCAAATTGTCTTTCTCCATGTTGTTGTGTTAGAAAGAAGATTAAGTCACAAAGGTCACGATGAGGGATAATAGCCCAAATCGATAGCTGATTCCCTTTCGATATAGTTTTTATTACACTGGAGTGAATATTTTTATATCAATTCATAGCAAAAACCCTCATTTCCATCTGAGTTCTGAATTCAACACGTATATGGATTAGGGAAGAAGAATTAAGAAAACGTGCACAGAATTCACTTCTCTGCAGCAGAGCACATCACACACAGTTTTAACTGTTTTTGGCATTAACTAAATAAATAAAATTCCAAGTACACACAAAGAATTATTTTAAATTTTTTTTCATTCTTCCTTTCTCTCCTCTGCCCCTTGCTAATTAAACGCAACCCAATTGTAAATTTTCTTTGTATGTGAAGAAAATTTTGTATTTATAAGAAAAGAAGTTCATCACACCAATAATAATGACAACATAATGTGTAAATTATTTCTGATTATTTCCCTTACTTTTAGGATACTTTTCTGAAATGGCACTAATTTGAGTTCTAAAGGTGGTGCGCAAATATAAGTATGTGCAACAAGGTCTTTGAGAGTTTTATTTTTACAATTAACATAAATAACATGTGTGTTTGTATGCTATTGTAGAGTATTATACACATTTATTGAGGATTGAATGCTGTATTCAAATGAAGTTCAAAGTTGCCTTTGGTTTATGGTGATATTATTGATGTGTGTTTAGTTTTACTGCTGGCTACTGCAAATCATTTGTTTTCAACTTCTCATCCAAGGTTAGCTCCAAAAATGAGTAGAAGTAGTTAAAAATTGCCTCATGATTAGTCTCAAATGAATTATCTCACTTGATTATGTGTAATGCAAAAGAATAAAAAATTGATTTAGAAATATGTGACATACATGGTAAAGGTTTGAGTGGTGTTTGTATAAAAACAAAAACCTTGTTTCCCCTTCTGAATAAGGCTCTTTTTTTTTTTTTCTCTCTCTCTCTGCTCTCTCTCTCTCTCTTCTCATCTCTCTCTCTCTCTCTTCTCTCTCTCTCCTCCTTCTCTCATTAAAGACTTCAGGGGAATTGGTTACTTTTAAAACCTTACTGTTTTGTTTATTTCAAGATTACAATGAGACCTCTCATGGGAATACAAGACCATCAGAGTTGCCATCTTCACAGCAGCAGCTTATGCAATTGGGTGATCAAATGTCATCAGGCCAAGATGTTGATGAGGAAAGTGAATCTTCGCTTCCTGTGATTTTGGTGCCAAAAAGTGAACAGCTGACTGATGAAGAGAATGAAGAACCTATGGATTATCCTGATGAGTTTGGAAATGCTATGAATGAAAGGGTTGAAGAAACGGGACCTGCAAGTGCTGAACACAATCTTAACCAACGCTCAAGTAAGTAGAAGAATACCTTTACAATTTTATTCCTATCTTCAGGATTGATGCACGTCTGGAGAACTTGAAAATGTCGGAAGGTAATTCTTATAGGAAAAGTAAGGAAATAATACAGGCCCATAGAAAAATTATTTAATTGTCGATGAAAAAATTTAGTAAAGTAGGTGATATTGTTCAATATTTATTTGGTACGTTTTACTAAATTAGTTGTTAGGATCAGGGTTGAAAAAAACAAACAACAATAATAACCAAAGATGCAACACGTGGTTGCATTTTATTGTAAATTTATTTTGTTCTTGTGTTGCCCTGCATTTGTTTGTATGATTTGTTTGTATGATTTGTTTGTATGATGCGGCGGCGATGGTGTAACGGTTAGCGTACTGGACTGTTGTACCGAAGTTGGCGGGTTCAAGCCCGATCGAAGCCGTGGATTTTTAAGGGCGAAAAAATCCTTCGTACGCCTTCCTTCGGAGGGGAAGTAAAGCCGGCTGTCCCATGTTCGTAGATTTACTTGCATGTAAAAGATCCTCAAGCCTAAATGACGCCTCTGAGCTAAATTCAAATCGCCTGTTTCTCGCCCAAGAAATACCTCCTTTCTCTCCTAGTTGGTGAAAGAAGCGTAGCGAAATTTGCGTGGTCAGACGGAAGAGCGGGCCTAATGGCCCGAGTCTCGCCACGTAAAATAAGGCAAATTCAATTCAATTCAATTCAATTGTTTTATTGATGTTTCTGAGCATGTCATTAGTCAGTAGTCTCTATGGTCATTAGTCCTGATAGTGTAGTGAATGTTTAATCCTGGAATGAAGCTGTGTTTTCTTCCCACTAGTTATCTAATGTGAACTTACATGTCAGCTAGAGGGTGATTTTTCTATCCAGGTGTCTCCCCATGCAGGCCACCACCCCAACTGGATCAAGTGCTTAAATCCTGACTGATCTCTTGATACTAGAGGTAGAGTAGTACTTGCATGTGAACATGTAAATATAAGTGTGTGTAAAGGGGAATGCGAAGGCAAAGATTAAGGAAGGCCACGTTGCGGCAGTCAATGGCTCTCTGTCGGTGCACTTCCCTAGAATATGCCCGACAGCTGAGGTTCCAAACAGGTTTTGTATCGACACCAAAGGAGTTTGTATCAATGGCATTTTGAAGGGAGTCATAATGGTCAAAAGTAAATTGGAGGTCGATATCCAAGTATTCACCCATGACTCATTGGTATAATAAAGATCAAATTGATTACAAAATTATTTATGAATTTTATTATCATTTTTTTTACTTTTATCTACAAAACACACAATAATAAGTGACAAATTGGGTCATATTTTGTGAATTTCACATCATTCACATTGATAAAATGAAACAAATAGCATTCACATTGATAAAAATAAAAGAAATAGCATTCACATTGATAAAAGAAAAGAAATAGGAAAAACAACAAAAGTACAAAACAATATAAGCTGACAACGAAATATTACAAACTTCATTTGCTAACACTGACAGCTCGAATTTCATCTCAAGAAAGAAAACTGGTAGAGTTAGCTCTGAGCCAAACAGCATTACCATTATCTTGTAAGGCTCTCACCAAGGAATCGTAGGTTTGAGTGTCGTCAGTTGTGAATTTTTGACCCTAGCTATATAGCCATATTCAATTGATCCTAATTATAATTTGTGATTTTGTTTTTGAAAACTTGTTTATATTTGTAAGTTTGATAATAGTTCAAAAAAATGAAACTAATTTTTTTTCCAAACTATGTTCGTATTAGACTAATTGTTATCTTAAAGTTAGTTGTGTGCAATTATTTGTATTATGATAATTTCTTAAGCCGTATATTATAGAAACAAATAGAAGGTCAATGAAGCAAAACCATATTTTAAGAGATGTTGAAGCTGGAAAACGGTTGGTAACCCTTTTGCTAAAGAAGTAATGGAGAACTAACAATCAGAGTAGCTGGAAGTTGGGGACAATTATTGAACGAAGGGAGGGAGGGGATCATGGAAGGAAAGTGTCAACCACATGTTGTGGAGACACGTGCCATGGATGCAGCAGTGGCAAGAGTCTGCTGTGCCGATTTAATTGAATTCTTACAGTAGAGATCAGTTTCGTATATTTTATTGGTAGTCAAAGATTCCATGATTTCTCCATTGATGAATTTTTTTTTTTTTTTTCATTTATTGTAACAATTTATACATTTCTTTTAATTTGTTAAAATTGTACAATTTAATTTGTTAATATTTTATTGATTAAAAAAATTAATCTGAAAACATTCTTTCTGCAAAATTTGAAGTTAAAGAAGGATGAACATAACACTAAACTAACACCATATACCCCCCTGTGTGGCAGAGTAACACTGCTTCAAGCACCCTCCCCATCGTAAGCTTTACATAATTTACGAATGATTGCCCCTAAGAGGCCTATCATGTGGTTCGCAACATTGCAGATGAAACATTAGATTTTTAAAAGTATTTGAGTTTTTTTTTTTTACCACTTCACGTTTTCCAAAAGTTCAGAGATCCCTTCAAAAAATGTTCAAGCAAATATAATTGTTTAATAAGTTATTTTTATGTATATGTCACTTACTTAGGTTTTTGTAGAACAGAAAGTTTTAATTATTTTTCAAAAAATTTAGGTGAAATATTTTCTGAGATGTAATTTCTTTTAAATATTGCATTATGTATTTAGTCAAATAGATTAAATTATGTTTAGTTTTATTTCAGTATAATATTAAAACATAATTTAATTGAAAGTATATCCTAGAAATTTCTTATTCAGTTATAGGGAACTATCTTAATTATTTCAAGTAAATATTGTATAAAAACAAACATCTGTTTTCTTTAACCCTTTATTGCATAGTGTAACGCAGGTGTTACAATGTTTCTAGGTCATAAATGATTTAATTTGAATGAATTGAATGATTTGAATGATTTAATTATGAGTTATTTTATATTACACGTGATTTACATCCTGTGTTCATGTCACAACATGCATTGTTAACGAGCAAACGCGATAAGATAACAGGTTGAAGCGGTAGTAAACTAGTGGCGTCATGAATCAAAATTCCTGGTGGCACCCTGTTTCTGGTAATCAGAAATTAAATGTTTTTAAGAAAAAAATTGAAATAATATACGCTCGATATTGCTTCATACCTATTTTACCACATAAGCTGTTGGAAAAGCAAGAAGCATAGTTTTTAAATTGTGAAATGTAGCATATTTTGTTATATAACTCTGGTATAACACATGCATATACGGTATGCAGCAAAATGTATCTATGATCCAGTCATTTTGTGATATAGTTTTTATGTTGAATTTTTTTTTATTTAAATAAGTTTATTTTCAGATGAGTTTATAAATCTTGTCTTTGGATTAGGAGAATTTATCAAAATGGAAAATAATAAATCTTTTGAATTTACTATATGACAATGAGGGTGAATTATTAGAGTCAGCAATTTGTGAACATAAATGGATGATATTTGTGGAAAATGGATGAGCAGATTCTTGAAAAATACAAGGTTGTCTTATTTCTCAAACTTGGAGTATACCTATACACAAAATTGTTTCCTTCAATTCAATTAGAAATCCATTAAAAATTCTAAAATACTCTTATCTAAAATCATTATAAAATATTCTTCTTAAAATTAATCTGTTTCTTCTATTTCAAAATTTTCGATTATATTTTTAATTCTTTTTGTTATCAAGAAACGATAGGCAGAGTAGCAGAATTTTAAACCCTTACTGTATGATGTAACTCAAGAGTAACAATTTGTTTGTTTTTTTTCTCAAGTATTATTTACTTCTGATTTTTATTATTTTTCCTTTAATTAAAATAAATAAAAGTAAAAAGTATAATTAATGCAAGCAAAAATAAAAAAAATCATGCAATAAAGGGTTAAAGCAGGTTTTTTACTTTCTCGCCATTACGAAAATATTTCGTAAGAAAAGAAAGGTATATATCTGAATACCTGGCAGTTGGTGAAAATGAAATAGAAGATCTTCTTGTGGAAAATGGAGGAAAAATGAAAGGGGTAAACAAATACCTTGGTGTACGTTTTAACAATAAGGGAAATAGCCATGACGAAATTGAGAGACTTGGGAAGATAGGCTTGGGGGAGAAACGTGACACGAAGTATAAACTCTGACTTATGGAACAAAACCATCACTAACATTACTAAAAGACGTCTTTACTCCTCGCTAGTTGTGTTACTACATACGGTTCAGAAGTTTGGGAGATTGATAAAAGAACAAAAGGGAAGCTGCTGGCCGTTGAAATGAACATCTGGCATAGAAATTGCTGTTATAGCAGACGTGACAAAATCAGAAACGCCGACTTAAGAAAGAAAATGGATATAAAGAAATCTATCCTTGACGAAATAGAGAGAAAACAAATCGTCTGGTACGGTAATGTTATGCGAATGACTGATGAAAGAGGCCAAAACGAGTCCTGAAATGGGTGCCGACAGAAAGACAGAAGAGAGGAAGACCCAGACTTGCATGGCAGCAGGGAGTGCAAGAGGCTATGATGGCAAGAGAAATGCAAGAAGATCTATGGTCAAGAGAGGCATGGAGACTGAGAGCGGTGAAACGGCGACAGCTGTAGAGCAACTCCGTACGATATATACATACACACACTCGCACATGCACACACACAGGTATGTAATCAAAACAGTGAATTTTAGACAGAAAAACTTATTGCCGGGCCTTGGTAACGAAACAATGTATAAATCGTGTTGGTAAATACACAAAAAACCAACCTTCTTTAACACGTGGTGTGGTGACGGAAAAATGAATTAATCCAGATGCTAAATTTAGAAGAAGAAAAATACTCTAACACGTGGTGTAGCCAGAATCCTTCTTTGTGGGTTCTTTAAACCCAAAAATCGATTGACGGCGAAACGTCCGTATGGCATGTCTGTCTGTCCGTCCATCCGTATGGCATGATTGTCTCCCTGGCCTTGCGACCGTGGTCCATTCTGGTGCCTAAGCTGGTTTTCATCAACACATATCTTCT